GTGATGCTATTGTTTGCTCTGTTATTTATTTATTTCCCTTTGTTGCTTCTTTTTCGATAGACCCCGATACTGCGATTGACCCTGAGACCGCTGATGATCTGGTGATCGCCTACTTCATTTGAAGATCCGTTATCGTCCCAGAGCTTCCAGGCAAGCAAACCCCCCTTGATAATTCTGATATCGCCATTCCATTCTCTCTCATGCTTGCATTAGATTTTGTTAGTGTAATTGATTGCTCCTATTCTGATGCATAGCCTGCTTTTGTAACATGCTATTGTTACTTACCTGCTTATCCTAAACTGCTTAGTATAGGTTGGTTGGTGATCCATATGTGACCCCTCGCCTTGTCCATGTTGTCCCTACTTTATGGCCGACAACTCGATCAACGTGATCGACGTCCAGAGCCCGACACTATTGGGAACGTAGTAATTTCAAAAAAATTCCTACGCACACGCAAGATCATGGTGATGGCATAGCAACGAGAGGGGAGAGTGTTGTCTACGTACTCTCGTAGACCGTTAGCGGAAGCGTTATGACAACGCGGTTGATGTAGTCGTACGTCTTCACGAATCAACTGATCCAAGCACCGAACGTACGGCACCTCCGTGTTCAGCACACGTCCAGCTCGATGACGTCCCCCGGGCTCCAATCCAGCGAAGCGTCGGGGATGAGTTCCGTCAGCACGACGGTGTGGTGACGATGATGATATTCTACTGGCGCAGGGCTTCGCCTAAACTCCGCGACGATATGACCGAGGTGGATTATGGTGGAGAGGGGCACCGCACACGGCTAAGGAACGATCCGTAGATCAACTTGTGTGTCTATGGGGTGCCCCCCTCCTCCGTATATAAAGGGGGAGAGGAGGAGGGGGCCGTCCAAGGGGGAGGCGCGCCCTAGGAGGGGGAAACCTACTCCAAGTAGGTTTGCCCCCTCCCTTTCCTATTAGGAGTAGGAGAGGGAAGGAAGAGAGGGGAGGGAAGAAGGAAAGGGGGGGCCGGACCCCTTCCCAATTCGAATTGGGCCTGGGGGGGGCGCCCCCTCCTTTGCTCCTTCTCCCTCCCTTCCACTAAGGCCCAATAAGGCCCATATACTTACCGGGGGGTTCCGGTAACCTCCCGGAACTCCGGTATAGTTCCAATCTCATCTGGAACCTTTCCGGTGTCCAAATATATCCGTCCAATATATCAATCTTTATGTCTTGACCATTTCGAGACTCCTCGTCATGTCCGTGATCACATCCGAGACTCCGAACAACCTTCAGTACATCAAAACTTATAAACTCATAATAAAACTGTCATCGTAACGTTAAGCGTGCAGACCCTACGGGTTCGAGAACTATGTAGACATGACCTAGAACTATTCTCGGTCAATAACCAACAGCGGAACCTGGATGTTCATATTGGTTCCTACATATTCTACGAAGATCTTTATCGGTCAAACCGCATAACAACATACGTTGTTCCCTTTGTCATCGGTATGTTACTTGCCCGAGATTCGATCGTCGGTATCCAATACCTAGTTCAATCTCGTTACCGGCAAGTCTCTTTACTCGTTCCGTAATACATCATTTCATAACTAACTCATTAGTTACAATGCTTGCAAGGCTTAGTGATGAGTATTACCGAGAGGGCCCAGAGATACCTCTCCGACAATCGGAGTGACAAAAACTAATCTCGAATTATGCCAACTCAACATGTACCTTTGGAGACACCTGTAGAGCACCTTTATAATCACCCAGTTATGTTGTGACGTTTGGTAGCACACAAAGTGTTCCTCCGGTAAACGGGAGTTGCACAATCTCATAGTTGCAGGAACTTTGTATAAGTCATGAAGAAAGCAATAGCAACATACTAAACGATCAAGTGCTAAGCTAACGGAATGGGTCAAGTCAATCACATCATTCTCCTAATGATGTGATCCCATTAATCAAATGACAACACATGCCTATGGTTAGGAAACATAACCATCTTTGATCAATGAGCTAGTCAAGTAGAGGCATACTAGTGACACTATGTTTGTCTATGTATTCACACATGTATCATGTTTCCGGTTAATACAATTCTAGCATGAATAATAAACATTTATCATGATATGAGGAAATAAATAATAACTTTATTATTGCCTCTAGGGCATATTTCCTCCAGACACATCACATCACACCCCCCTTAGTTGTACAACTCTACAGAGCTACTATCTAGTGCCGAGGGTGATACCTCGTAACGCACTCCTGATGATAACTCTGCAGTGTAGCTATTCGGTCGTGGTCATTGACTGTGATTCCTCCTTCACCACTCTCGATAACGACTCTGTCGTGCAACCCTCAAGTGTGAACCATCGAGTGTGATTCCTCCTTAGTTCACCTTGACGATTACATCATGTGGATTCCATCGAGGGTGATTACTCGGATTCCCCCTTGGTGTTTCGGACACTCGGTTACTTTGACTTTACCATGGAACAATGTTGAAGTTAGGTCGGCCCTACGAGGTACCAGCGACTTGATGTGTAGTCGGGTTGACCTGGAGGGTACCCGCGAGATTTCTACGTGGCACGACCAGGAATTCCGAGCCCTTGTCATAAGTCCACGAGATGGGACGACGGGGTCACAGATTGTGAGTCTCTGCTCGTTACTGCGCGCTCCCAAGACACTAATGGATTTGGATATTTGATCTAAGTTGGCTACTGGCCTATACGCACTAACCACCACGCGGGACAAGATATGGGCAAGCAGCATCGTAGTATCAGCCGAAGTTCTTCAGATGTCAATGACTGAGTGGAGGTTGCTGGGTCTACTCACCGGTCGCTTACGCAACATGAAGGAGTGCAATGGGCGATGGGCCCAAGACCCCTGCGCGCTTAGGATGTAGACCGACGTGCTGGCCTCTCTATTGACCCTAAGTAGGGTTGCGACGTGTTGATATTCCGAGGCCGGGCATGACCCAAGAAAGTGTGTCCGTCCAGAGATGACTGAGTGTGTCGGTTAATGTGGTGCACCCCTGTAGGGAAGTTAATCTATTCGAATATCCATGTCCACGATAACATGACGACTTGGAGTTGTATCCCGATCTTTACAACTAGAACTGGATTCTGAGATGTGGTTTGGATATGATGGCTCCGGGAATGCTTTCTCGCAAGGAGTCGGGGAAGGATGTCGGGACGTGTTTACTACAACATACTTGCTAAATTTAATATGCTATTCTTTACTCTTCTAAATGCTGCCAGATGCTTGAAGATGCTAGTCTTTGATAGGCTAGGTTTTCCCTTCTATTCTGGCTTTTTGTAGTATAGTCCACAGATACAACCCTTCCATTTGATAGCGATGCATACTTAGAATAGATCTGATGTCAGTCTTGCGAGTACTTTGGATGAGTACTCACGGTTACTTTGCTACTACTTTTCCCCATACCTGGTTGCTACGACCGGATGACGGATCCCAGGAGCCAGATGACACCACCGACGACTACTACTACCCCGATAGAGCTTACTTAAATGTCGAGAACGCCGACGACGGGAGTAGTTACGAGGCTCCTAGGCAAGATGCCTTGCCTTTTCGATCGTTGCTGCTTTTGTGCTAGCCTTCTTAAGGCAAACTTGTTTAACTTATGTTTGTACTCAGATATTGTTGCTTCCGTTGACTCATTTGTATTCGAGCTGATGTATTCGAGCCCTCGAGGCCCCTGGCTTGTAATATAAAGCTTGTATTACTTTAATTTGTGTGTAGAGTTGTGTTGTGATATCTTCCCATGAGTCCTTGATCTTGATCGTATATATTTGTGTGTGTGATTAGTGTATGATTGAATCGGGGGCGTCACAGCAAACCACCAAAAACACATATGAATGACCATGATAAGATGCATTAAAGCATACCAAGTAGCATAAGTGCAGTAGCAAAATAAGTTTGGTAATCACTCGCGAGATAAATAAGTTTACATCCAAAGAAAGGAATAAAGTAGCAAGGGTGTAACTTAGCAAAATGAGCGCTCTCACACTCTAAGCCTATAGATCTATATCACCCCCCAACTTGGCATCAAAGATACCAAAAAGTTTGAGATGATCTAAACGTCACTCGAGGCACGATGATCCACAGCTCCAAGCGATGAACACTTCTGGCTGGCGAGTAGGATGAGCTTGTGCAGCGTGTCTGCGGCGGTGAAGCGCATGTCCATCAGTTCATGGGTTAGAGTTCGTTGCCATCGGTTACAGAAGCTCCACATTAGCCAATCAGTTTTTAAGAATCCAACAACCTATCACTCAAAATCGACTTCGGTGTGACATGAAAGTACTTAAGGTTAGAGTTGTCCAACAATTTTAGATTGCAAATTATATGATAACCGAGTTCAGAGGATATGGATCCACTAATTTGGATTTTGGGTTAGGCGGGTGAAACCTATACTTTCATAGAGTAGATCGCGTAGGTCGATGCAAGAGGAACAAAGAGACACGAAGTTCATGGACCGGTCCAACTGGAACGCTGCCCTATTAGTAAGGGTATTGGGCGAGTCGTAAGCGGCAGCAGCGTAGGGTGAGAGGGCTCCTATTCCTCGGCCTGTGCAGAGGGCAATGAGCAAACGCGTACGACCTCAGACTGTGGGACGACTGATGGAGGAGCAGACGCCTGTTTTTTTTCCTCTTATTTTTTTTTGTTTTATTTTCTTTCTTTTTTTGCTTCCTAAAAATGTTACAATTTTTTTAAAAATATTCACATCTTTTTAAAATGTTCCAAATTTCAAGAAAAATGTTCCTTGATTTCAGAAATGATCTGAATTAAAAAAAACGAATTTGAAACCCTAAATGGGCCGGCCCGAAAGAAGCGACAGCTAAGCGACCAGGAATTAGACCTAGCCCGGAAGCTGTTGTAGCTTGTCGTACTCGAACCCTAGCACGGTAAATATAAATTGTTCTTCAAGCCTCCCTTTTCCCCTTCCTCGCCCCATCCGCCATCAGCAGACCGACCTTCCTCCACAGAGCGTTGCTAGATCTGCCCCCTACCCGGCACAATCCCTATGGTAGCCAAAGCCGACCACCCCGCCTGGCTCCTCACTGCGGCCGAAGGCTACGTCGGTGACCGGTCCAACGAGAGGACCGCCAGAGGCATCACGAGTAAGGGCCTGAGCATCAAGGCGTCTTTTTTCCCCAACCGCCCGCCACAACCATCAAAGCTGTGGGTGCACTGCCCAGAGGCCGCGGTCGTCCAGACTCCCCGTGTCCTCTACATCGCCGGTGACCTGATCCTCTTCCGGGTCCCCATCTCTTCCGATCCTGTCCCAGAAAACCGTTTCTTTTGGCCGCTGGATAGCGACTATTTCGTCTACCGCGCTGACCCCAATTTGCGAGAGCTCAAGCTCCTCACCGACGTGCACATCAGAAATTTCGAAGACTGTGAGGTTGGTATTCTTCCCCGTGGTTTCCACGACTACACCATCGCCGCGCTGGTTGTTTGTCCTCTCACCATCGACAGGTTTATACTCCATTTGTTCCACTCGGAGACATCTAGCTGGACCTCCATCGTGCCGCCTGTGGTGGAGCCACAGGAGGGCTTCAATATTGTCATCCCCACTAACACGGATCTTCATCGCCATGATACTTCCAACGTTATCACAATCGGTGGTGAGTACGGCACCATGGGTTGGGTCGATCTCTGGCGAGGCATCCTGTTTTGTGATGTGCTGTGTGAGAAGCCAACTCTCCGTGGAATACCATTGCCGCTGCCGATGTATCATATCACAGGCGGCGATGGGATGGGATTATATTTAGACCGTGCAATGGATTGCCGAGGCATTGCCTTCATCAATGGCTGTCTCAAGTTCGTCCAACTGGACATCAGCGGCTCTTGCCTCTTACAGTACATAGACGGGGAAACAGGGTTTCCAACTTTGCTGGTGTCTGACTGGGCGATCTCCTCATGGACCAATAAGAAGATGGAGAATTCTTACAAAGCTTGGGGGGATGCTGAATGCACGGTCCAAGCTTCTGAGGTCACAATCAAAAGCGACATGGTTTCACAACCGACTGGAAGGCTGCTGCTGCCATCAGAGGATAGTGTTGAGAACCCAGAACGAAAGGCAGCCTACTTACCGCACCTTGTGATCTCTGACCCCTCTCCGAGCTTGGATGGTGATGGCGTTGTTTACCTAATTGCCAGGGAGAAATTATATCACCAAAAGTCATGGGTCCTTGCTCTTGACATGAATAGCAAGACGCTGCGAAGTGTTGCTCCCTTTGGCATGGTAGAAGACCCATGTGATTCTGTCGTGTATTGCACTAGCAGGTCTGCCTCCAATACTTGAGGTAATTCACACTGCAACGTCTCTCTCTCTCTCTCTCTCTCTCTCTCTCTCTCTCTCTGTGTGTGTGTGTGTGTGTGTGTGTCTATCTTCATACATGAAGCATTTTATCTATTCTGTTGGATGCAGTTATCTGGTGGAACTGGAGACCATGGGCTATCTACCGCAGGAATAAATTCAGCATGAAGATGTTTTTCTTATTAAGAAAGCATGCACCGGTGCTGTGGGCAGTTCTCAGTGGGTCTTGCTTTACATATTCATTTAGTTACTATTTTAGATGGAAAGACATGATCTCCTGCGTTTGTGATTTGTGGGCAACTTGCTTAATATGTTTGAGCAACATATATTTCTCGTTGTATTTTATTGTGTTGGACATGATGGCCTGTGTCTTCGGTCAAGTTGTTTATTAGTACTCAAGTTGGATATTCCTATTAGTACCATGTTTCAACCGACTTGTATGGTAGTATATGTTTGAAGAATCCATGTGGTTATTTGATCTCATATGTGACTTGAGTCTGTTCAATCGTGATAATGTTAGAAGGACATAATATTTGTGTGTGCTTGTTGTTTTTCAGATTGCCTTTCAACTTGAACAAACTTAAATTACTGCTGCAGTAGTATTTACTTGAAATGTGTCTTTTGTCCTTTCATATTGTACACTAGATCATGGTGGTGCAGAGTTGCGGCGCCTATGTATTTTAACAATAAAAACAATGGGAATTTATATAAACATTGAAACATGAAAGTTAAATTTGAATAAAACGGTACATATTTGTTAGCACTAGAAGAGGTGAAGTTTTTTTTCCTGCATATATCAAATTGCAATCGGCTGGTGTACACGGTAATATTATAAATTAAAGGAAATTACCAATTACAAATTATGGGCTTGGTAATAAAGAAAATTCCCAATGTTTAGTGATGCAGGATCTCCAGCTAGCCAGAGATTTGTATGAAGTACTGTATATGACAAACTACCAAGAAAAGCAATATTTGGCAATCCAACTCACAATCAGTAGTGAATACGGGCAGTGCGTGGCGGCATGCCGCACCATATGGACTGGCAAACTAGATTTTACTTTGGGGATCTGATTATGAGACAAGGACTATAAGGAACTTCTAAAAAGTCGGTTCAAAGACTGAAAAGTGATGGTCACGTCATGACTTATTTCCTAAGGTGGCATGACGATTTTTTTTACTTGGGCAAACTGCACTAATAGACCCTGCGTGAGCTAGATCGATGATGTGCCTCGCCTTGCCTTAGCATCACGGTGTTTTCCATGACCAGTAAAACTATAGTACCAGAATAAGCATACTCGTAGATGGTGAGTGGTGGAATATTTTTTGTAGTTTTGTAAAAGCACCTAATTAATGCTCTTGTTTTCCTTAAAAAAATATGTTTATCAATGCATTAATTGCAATGCATGCATGCATAAAGTACATGTGTTGATCAATTTTCTCTTAATACTTGCATGCAATGATTTAATGCACCTTGAAATCTGAACTTGTAATGGAAAACAACCAAATTGAGCTTTATAAAATAGAAAAACTAAAATTTTGAGATAAGCCCTATAAACCGGAAAGGAGGAAGTAGCTATGTATGGAAGCAAATTAGACATTTAGTCATTTTCAAGTAGCTTACAAAAACTAACCCATAGAAAGTTGTGTCAATTCTTTTGGGCCCAGCGCTGTATAGGACACAAAAAACATTTTTATACCGGACGCGTGATAGACTAAATAAAATCATAAAACGATCTCTATAGATCCCCTAAAAGAACTCCATGTAAGTGATGGTTTGTTTTGTTCGTTATTTACAAGAAATGCAATTTGGAGCCCGAGCTCAGATGCTTTAGATATCTACACCGTGAGTCAACCTCGAGATTGGAAATGCAGCATGTCAGTCAATTTTTGGGCAAATGTCTGTCAACCATGGGCCATGTTCATTTATTGCCACCTATCGGAGCGTTCTCCATGACTTCCAGCTGGAGTCGAAGCCAAATCAATGTGCTTTCGCGTGCCGGCCACCGGCGCTGGCGGCGGTGCTGCTGCCATGGATACGGTCGCCGTCGTGTGGAGGCGGCACTGCTCTAGTAGTTCGGCATGATGCAAAAGGCTTGCGAGTGTGCTTCATGCTGTTAGCCACGGTCGGCAACGCCTCGTGCTCCGACGCCTGCTCCTCCGTCTAAACATCACTAGCGGCCTCAAATACACTACCACCTCTATGAGTGATGTGCTCGCGCGGCACGCCTGCCTCGACTACAACACGGAAAAGAACAATTGCGCGGACTCGGCCGGCGGGCGGCGGTGGCGTGCACGACCTGCCCCAAGATCTTTGAGTTACTCTGTACCACCTCACACAGGGAGACCTGTGAGTGATAGGCCTATTTGTGGCCACTGAGTGTCAGACGAGACGACTTGCGAACACGGCTATATTGATGCAGCTAACCCTTGCCGGAGCAGACCAAGAAGAAGATCCCACTATAATTTTTCAGCCCTGATTTGGAACAGCACCAGGCGCAACAAAGCTTGCCGCTGCTGGTCTCATGAATGGGGGTCTCGCTGTCTCACTTGTGAAGCTGTGCTGCTCGGATGGATCTCTAAGAGGAGCCATGACAGAGGAAGAGAGGAATTCTCCAGTGGACCGATTGAATCGAATTTTCGTCCTACTCGTCGGTGTTGCCGCAGAGTGCTGCACCACCACACTAGCTTCGCCGGTGACAACGCTTACGGCCGCTGCACACGGGGAGGATGGGATCCACACTTGAATCCGGCACCGGAGCGGTGGGAGAGGTGGGATTCGTTGGTAGCCGGCTCACCATTATTGCGGAGAGAGACGACGGGTGAACTTAGGAGTAACATCACACACTCCAATACAATTTTGCTTATGTGTCACATATTTAATGAAGAGAGAGGTGCTTGTGGTAACTAGCTAAGTTACCGGAACATCACACACTCCAAGAAACAATGAGTCTATAACCTAATAAATACATTGTTGCATGACACTACATAGATGTTCCTACCCACTGTGGAGGTAGTAACATAGTCTAGGGAAGTGTGTAAGTTACTAGACTATGTTCTTGCCCATTGTGACCAGCCTGAAGATGCTGACCATGCTGACAGTCCGCTTTGTGTATTATGGTACATGTCAGTACACGATGTATTCTTTTGTGTATAGACTGTTGTATTTCCTGAAAACTGAATTTGGCTCACATCCCCATGCTCTATTGAATGGTACAGATATCAGGAGTAGGTGAGCTCGGGAGCCAAAACGCTGCTCTCGTTATTTACGGATCTGTTTGAATTTTTAAGAACATTTTCTAAAGTTTTATGGACAACAACAACAATAACAACAACAAAGCCTTTAGTCCCACACAAGTTGGGGTAGGATAGAGGTGAAATCCATAAGATCTTGCAACCAACTCATGGCTCTGGCACATGGATAGCAAGCTTCCAGGCACCCCTGTCCATAGCTAGCTCTTTGGTGATACTCCAATCCTTCATGTCTCTCTTAACGGACTTCTCCCATGTCAAATTCGGTCTATCCCGCCCTCTCTTGACATTTTCCGCACGCTTTAGCCGCCCGCTATGCACTGGAGCTTCTAGAGGCATGCGCTGAATATGCCCAAACCATCTCAGACGATGTTGGACAAGCTTCTCTTCAATTGGTGCTACCCCAACTCTATCTCGTATATCATCATTCCGGACTCGATCCTTCCTTGTGTGGCCACACATCCATCTCAACATACGCATCTCGGCCACACCTAACTGTTGAACATGTCGCCTTTTAGCCGGCCAACACTCAGCGCCATACAACATTGCAGGTCGAACCGCCGTCCTGTAGAACTTGCCTTTTAGTTTTTGTGTCACTCTCTTGTCACAGATAATGCAAGAAGCTTGACGCCACTTCATCCATCCGACTTTGATTTGATGGTTCACATCTTCATCAATACCCCCATCCTCTTGCAGCATTGACCCCAAATACCGAAAGGTGTCCTTTTGAGGTACCACCAGGCCATCAAGGCTAACCTCCTCCTCCTCCTCACACCTAGTAGTATTGAAACCGCACATCATGTACTCGGTTTTAGTTCTACTACGCCTAAACCTTTCGATTCCAAGGCTTGTCTCCATAACTCTAACTTCCTATTTACCCCCGCCCGACTATCGTCAACTAGCACCACATCACCCGCAAAGAGCATACACCATGGGATATTTCCTTGTATATCCCTTGTGACTTCATCCATCGCCAATGCAAAAAGATAAGGGCTCAAAGTTGATCCTTGATGCAGTCCTATCTTAATCGGAAGTCATCAGTGTCGACATCACTTGTTCGAACACTTGTCACAACATTATCGTACATGTCCTTGATGAGGGTAATGTACTTTGTTGGGACTTTGTGTTTTTCCAAGGCCCACCACGTGACATTCCGCGGTATCTTATCATAGGCCTTCTCCAAGTCAATGAACACCATATGCAAGTCCTTCTTTTGCTCCCTATATCTCTCCATATAAGTTGTCGTACCAAGAAAATGGCTTCCATGGTCGACCTCCCAGGCATGAAACCAAACTGATTTTTGGTCATGCTTGTTATTCTTCTTAAGCGGTGCTCAATGACTCTCTCCCATAACTTCGTTGTATGGCTTATCAGCTTAATTCCACAGTAATTAGTACAACTCTGAAAATCCCCCTTGTTCTTGAAGATTGGTACTAATATACTCCGTCTCCATTCTTCTGGCATCTTGTTTGCCCGAAAAATGAGGTTGAAAAGCTTGGTTAGCCATACTATCGCTATGTCCCCGAGACCTTTCCGCACCTCAATGGGGATACAATCAGGGCCCATCGCCTTGCCTCCTTTCATCCTTTTTAAGGCCTCCTTGACCTCAGACTCCTGGATTTGCCGCACCAAACGCATGCTGGTCTCATCAAAGGAGTCGTCCAGCTCAATGGTAGAACTTCCATTCTCCTCATTGAACAGCTTGTCGAAGTACTTCCGCCACCTATGCTTAATCT